CCCCCCTGGCCAGCAATCATCACCCAGATAAGCAGGGATTAACACCAGACAAACAACCAAGCAGAAGCCGATACCCCAATCTAGGAACTGCCAAGGAGAAAACCACAGCCCCACCAGCACTGGCAGGGCAAGCTACTGTATATCAACAGGGAGCAAGCCTCACCCTCCCTCGCACTCATCACCTAGCTGAGTAATGAAACAAGCGAACAACGAAGCTCAGAGAGCACCAAGGACTCCACATTTATATATACTGTATGGGGATGTGTGTGCACAGGTGGGTGTATATATATAGGTGCATGTATATATGCGCATATATGTGTGCGTGCATGGTGTGCATATTTGTGTGTGTGTATATAGATGTATATGTGTGTGTGTGCATATATATATATGTGCAAGAATATGTGTTTATAAAAAAACATTTGTTGTGTTGGAGTCACCTTTGTTTGGCATTGATACAGGTTTGCTCTAGTTTCTCTGCAGGGGGACCTCCCTTCATGTGGAGGGACTGTTTTAAAAACTTGGGGAACACTTGGACAAAGCAGATTTTGATGGGGTCCTTGGGAATGTTACAAACTCTGTCACTGCACAAGTTGTCAGCCAGTGAAGCCAGCTGCACGTGAAGTGGGGAGTCCTCCTTTGCTGGGGCTCTTCAAGGAGAGGCTGGAAGGAGGATATGACTTTTTAAAAAGCATAATGCGTAAATTTGAAACTACCCTTGCATCAAGTCTTTCTGTGTTAATAATATTTGGAAGTTTGGTCTGTATTTTTAATTGATTTATATCCTATTTTTATTTGATTTATATCCTATCTTTATTTTGGTGTATGTAATGCTCCCGCCTCCTAATTTCCCCAGAACAACAATCCTATAAGGTTGGTTGGATCTGAGAGAGAGGGACTGGCCCAAAGTCCTCCCAAGGACCTTCATGGCTAGTGGAGGACTAGAACTCACCGTCTCCTGGTTTCTAACCAGCACCTTCACCACTCCCCCAAACAGTCTCACGGTATTCTTATCCTGCAACTGAGACCTCACCCTCATGTCCCACTCACTATGACACAAAGATGTCCCCAAACCATTTTAAATGAAATTGCCTTGCGACATCCCCTTTGTTGCTTCTCTAGTACAGAAATCTCAGACTCCCAGTTGGATGTTGCTCCAAAATCTTGGTATGAAGAGCTTGCACGGACACGTTTTTCTTTCCCAGACTAAAGAAGAGTTTAATGAGAAGCTGAACGGCTTCCGTCCTGATCTGGCTGAATCTCATGGTAGCAATGTGACCTCATTCCAAGAATCAGCCTCTTCTGAGATCCCAAAGTATGTGGACTGGCGCCCCAGTGGTTACGTTACACCAGTAAAAGACCAGGTGAGTCCAGCTTGGGCAGAGAAGACTGTGCTGGCCAAGCCAAGAAGTCCAGGTTAGGTCCAATGAAGAGGCATCATGATATGTACAATCTTAGAATCATAGAGTTGGAAGGGACCTCAGGGGTCATCAAGCCCACTCCCCTGCACCCTGCAGGATTCACAGCCCCATCCCCAGGGACTATCCAGCCTCCAGCGAAGGGGAAGGAACTACTCCATGTAACCTGTTCCACTGATTGAGAGCTCTTGCTGTCAAGAAGGTCTTCCTAATGTCTAATCCAGTGTTTCTCAACTTTGGCAACTTTAAGCTGTGTGGACTTCAACTCCCAGAATTCTGGGAGTTGAAATCCATGCAGCCTAAAGTAGCCAAAGTTGAGAAACACTGGCATAATCCGTATCTACGTCCTTGAAGTTTCATCCCATTCATTCTAGTCTTACCCTCTGGAGCAAGTGAGAACTAGTCTGAACCCTCTACCGTGTGACAGCCCTTCAGGTATCTGAAGACAGCTATCATGCCCCCTCTCAACCTTCTCTTCTGGAAGCTAAACCTACCGAGGTCTTTTAACCTCCTGGCATGGGCTTTCTCTCTGCTCTACCTTAACCCCATGGTTAGCGCACATCACTGCCAGAGAGCCTTCTTCAGCTTGCTGCTGTGGGTGATGGGAACTGTACTCCAGTATATCCAGGGATGCAGCAGTGCCAGACTGGGGAAAGGTTGGAGTCAGTATCCTGATGGATGCTATAGCAGAGGCGAGGATCCTGGCTTAGCCCTAGCACTGACTGTAGAGGAAAGAGGGAATGGCCTTGAGGGACAGGCGGAAGAGCTGCTATCAAGACTAAGGTCAGATAAAAGAGGACTGAGCCCGGGGCAGGAATGTAACTTGAGAAAACGACTCTCTGTGGTTCTCACAGAGATAAAGGTATTGAGCAGGGAAGCGCATTCAGAACTGCAAGATTCTGGTACTGTGGCTTTACAGTAAAAGTAGTACTGAGATAAATGGCATTGGATTCCTTGTCTGGTCCACCTTGTAGGGCTGACCCTGAACCAACCTGCTTCCCTTCCTTTTCCCGCAGGGCGACTGTGGCTCCTGCTGGGCCTTCAGTGCCACCGGGGCCCTGGAAGGTTTGCATTTCAAGGAGACCAAGACCCTGGTGTCGCTGAGCGAACAAAACCTGGTTGATTGTTCCTGGAAACAAGGGAATGAGGGCTGCAATGGGGGCTACATGAACTGGGCGTTTAATTACGTACGGGATAACAAAGGCATCAATTTGGAGCACACCTACCCTTACGAAGCTGAGGTAACTTTTGCACGAGAGCAGCCATTTCAGATCATTTCGGTTTTCTTTCTCTTTTTGTCCTCTAATAAAATAACCTCCCATCCTTGCCTTCCTTTTCTTTTCTTTTTCTGGTGCAGAAAGCCCTTTTCCTTCAGTTTAATGAATTCTAGTGGAGGCGGACGCCAATCGGAATAGTTATTCGTGGGCTCTTTTCTCTGGGGGTGGGAGCTGAAAATTAAGCCAACATTCAGAGACAATCTTTTCTGTCTCTTGAAGGTGGACTGACTTTTGGTCCTCTCCAAATTTCACTGCCTGTTGATGGGCTCTCTTCTGCCCCCGTGGGAGAAAGGGTGCCACTCTTGGTACTATCCATTTTTAACTAGCAAATATTCAGCCCCTAATACCAAAAATCTCTGGACCGTGGAAAAGAGGAACCGAAAAACAGAGCCACGGGAACCGTTATCTGCCAACTAAACAACCCATCCCTTGACCCACGAAGGGGCAGGGAATTCCCAAAGTTACCTGACCCATGAGGATTGCGTTGAAAATGAAGAAGTTTCTTCCATCCACAGGGTCAAGCACACAAGGGCGTTTGCGAGCGGAAGTCAAAAAAGTCAAGATGGAATCTGCAACGGCACACCTGAAGCCCCACCTCTTTTTTACGTGTGTCGCAATGCATGTGAAAAATGGGCGGGGCTTCAATATGAGAAAGTTACCCAAGTCGCTCTTTCGGTTTTCCATTTGCATATCCCTTTTAGTTATTAAAACATCAGCCGGTTTCATTTGTATATCCAGTGTAGCATTTTTTTCCATACCATTCTTGCAGCTTGTCATTTTTAAATCCCCTTTCAGATCAGTTGCAGTCTTATCTGGTAAAACTCGTTCCTTTTCCAAAACATGTTTTAAACACAGTCTATCTATAATGGCAGATGCTTTTAAGATTAACTTCTGGATCCATTGCTCACAAATAGCCTCCAATGTTAAAGTATTTTGCTCCATTCTGTGTTAGTAAGTCAAATGTAAGTGTTCTTCTCCTTTAATTGTAATCCTTAGTTCCTTCTGGTTCCTTCTAGTGTTCAATGTTCAAATTGTCATCATGTTTTCTTCTAAGAATTCAAAACAACAGCATTTTCCCATGGGAAGGATTCTTATAATTAATTTCAAAATCTTATTTCAAATCCATCTGGGCCCTTAGTCCATTTATAACTTTATAAAATCAAATTTCTATTCACCCTTTTGCTGTTTATTCCAAAAAAAGTTTTTTTTTTTAACGTCCTTAAACTTATCTTTAAAACTTCTTTCACTAAGGATTAAAGGAAACTTGCCTGGTACGTATTATAAAACTTGTCAATGAAAAGGTTCTTAATTGGTGAAAAGCAGTTAAGAAGCAATTTCCAAAAGTGATTAAGAAATGAGGCTTGGCAGAACTTTGTGTCCGTAAGGCTACAGGTAATCCTCAACTTACAACCACAATTGGGACTGGAACTTCCATCGCTAAGCGATGCAGTCATAAAGCACGATGTCACATGACTGCATCGCTTAGCGATGGCAATCCCGGCACTCCCCGTTGCTGTTTTTAAAAGAATTCCACCAGTGATTAGCCAAGGACCCACCCCAATCCAAGCCATTCCAGGCTTGGCCCCTTCCATCCCTGCACATCAGTTCTTCCAGCCTGGCCCAGCAGCACGACATGAAGCCGCAGCTGCCCCAGCCCCGTCCCAGCCACAGTCATTCCCACCACCCTGCACTCTGAGGCCCCTGCTGCCCTGCGCTCCGCTGCCCCAGCTGACCTTCACTGTCTTCTTGCTCCCGCTGCTGACGAGGCATGCCTGGCCTGGCCCTTTGTGAGGCAGCTGCTGACCACATGAAGCCATCTTCCCCAGGTCTTGCGAGGAACTGCCATGCAGGACCTAGGGAAGAAAGCCTCATGTGGCCAGCAGTTGCCTCGTGAAAGGCCAGGCCAGGCATGCTAGGTCAGCAGTGGGAGGAAGAAGATGGTGAAGGTCAGCTAGGGTGGCAGGTGCCGTGGAGTGCAGGGAGCCAAAAGGGTATAGATGGGGGGAAATAGGCAGGTGGGGGAGTTGAAGCACCCCTGCGGTCGTAAGTGCAGGCGGGCTGCCAAGTGCTGAATTTTGATCACATGACTGCGGGGGTGCTACAATGGACATAACTTCAGGGACAGGTCATAAGTACTTCATTCAATGCCGCTGTAACTTTGAACAGTTGCTGAATGAACGATCATAAGTAGAGGACCAGCAGGGAAGGTTGCAAATGGTGATCATATGATCACGGGGAGCTTGGCAACCAGTCGTAAGTGCAAATGGATTGCCAAGTGCCCATATCATGATCATGTGACCATGGGGATGCTGGGACGGCCATAACTCCGAGGACCAGTTGTAACCACCATTCATTACCATTGTAACTTTAAATGGTCATTGAGCGAATGGTCGTAAGTCAAGGACTACCTGTAGATATGTTATTTCTGGTAAGCATTAATGGACTTTTGCTGACCAGGACTGAATGATGAGATTTTAAGGATCTGTTTATAGATAAGAGATGAGATATGGGACAAAGAGATCATTTGTTGTTTTTTAAGAGATGGTGATAAGTAGTTAAAATTGTTCATACTTGTGGTGACAAAGGGGGAAGACACTTCTTTATATATTTCTTTTCTTCTTTGTTATTTTTTCTTTCTTTCCCATTTTTCTTTTTTTTTCTTTCTTTTTTTACGCACTTTCTATTTTTTATCTTTTAATTTTTTGTAGTTTGTATTAGTTTTTATCTGTTTAACTGCAATGTTCAATTAAATTATTATAAAAAATTAAAAATGGGTGGTGCTTCAATTGTGTGACTGTGGTCACTAACTTGACTATTTTGACACTCTCCCACCCCCACGGATGCCCCTGAAACCATGATTATTTTCTTTCCAGGATGGACCATGTAGGTTCAATCCCCAGGACCGAGTGGTGACGTGCGCTGGATTAGTAAATATCACAAAGCACAGCGAGAGAGCTCTGGAAGAAGCTGTGGCCAGAATTGGTCCTGTTTCTGTCGCCGTGGATGCTTCTGACTTCATGTTTTACAAATCTGGTACAGTGGTGCCTTTTTAACAGCCAGGAGGCTATTTTGCAAAAGAATTTGGGTTGTCATAGCAAAAGGCAGCTGTGAGACAATATTCAAAGCAGAATTACCATAGATTTGGACATCTGGGTGAACGATTAGCCAAATGTGTGCAATGAATTACCTAAATATACCACTCAAATGAAAGCACAGGCTTTAAGATTGAATGTGGGTGGTAAGGTTGGTAGATAGCAGCTGGGTCCACAGGCAATGGTCAAAAAAGTCAAAATGGCACCCATGATGGTGGGATCAAAACTCCACCTATTTTTTTTTTTTATGTGCAATGTGACGGACATAGCAAACTGGTAGAGCTTGGATTGTACTATCTTGACTTTTTTGACCATACCTTGCAAACACCCCCAGTAGACAGGAACTGGCATGGACCTTGAATCCCAGTGGTTCCTATCAATATCTCACCAAATCCTGAAGGCCACTAGCAGGGACATGATGTTATCCATTCTTGACTCCACCTGGCTTCATTCTCAGTTTGTTACATTTGGAGAACAAGGCTTGCAGATCCCACCCCTTGAATATCTGCTGGGAAAACAATGCTGGAGGCAGGAAAGGGAACAAGAGATAGCCAGGAAGAGAGGTCTAGGTCTGGGGGTGTGATGGTATATGGGAAAGACCTTGAGAGACTGGGCGAAGGGACACTGCCAAGGGAACGGTCAGATAAGAGGCGGCATAGCCCGTAGCTGGATAGTGAGTGGGGCAAGAGGCTCAGAAGAGACCCTCCCTAGTTTTTCGGGCTGTAAAGGAGATGGCAGGAGAATTGTACTTTCAGACTTGCACGACTGATGTCAGCCTCGCAGGGCAAACCAGATAGGAATCACAACCAGAGGAACTAATTCTACTTTATTGTAAAGCTACATTGACATAATCTTGCAAGTCTGAAAGTACATTTCTCCCACTGTCTCCTTTACAATGTGAGAAGTTAGGGAGGGTCCTTTCTGAGCCTCTTTCTCCGTCCATTATGCAGCTGCGGGCAATGCCATCTCTTATCTGACTGTTCCCTTGGCAGCGTCTCTTGGCCCAGTCTCCCAAGGTCTTTCCCACATACCATCACAGGGGGAAAAAGAGGAAGAAAGGAGGAGAAAATGGGATGCCTGGACAGCAGTAGCATCATCTCACTTGTCCTCTTTCTTGCACCCCTTCCAATCTCACTTTTCTGGAAATGATTCAGGCAGGCCCCAGGAACATGGCTCGCCACGTTCTCTGATTTCAGCCCCTACTTTCTCCCTCTCCAACATTTTCAGGAATCTTTTTTCGCAAAGGATGCGGCAGATTCTTGAACCACGGCATGTTGGCGGTCGGCTACGGCTCCATCAGGGAAAACAAGAAAATGAATAAGTACTGGATCCTGAAGAACAGGTGAGAAAGAGAGCAACCGAGGGCTTGCTGGGAAAGGACTGGCAACATGTTTTGGGTGATGGGAGGGCTATTACGACCCAATCCGCTGCTCTCCAGCAGGCTGGACTACAGCTCCCGTTATTTTATTTTTATTTATTTATTTTTCAAATTTGTCACCGCCCATCTTGCTGCAGAGCGACTCTGGGTGGTTTACAGTAAAAAGAATAAATATTAATTAAAATAGAATAAATATTAATT